TCCCCGGCCCAGGTCTCCGCTGCCCCTGCGGCAGGGCTGGGCCGAGCGGGAGGCACAGCCTCACGCGGCACCCTGAAACGGGGGTGGTGAGCCCCTGCAGCACTCCCGCACTGATCCTGAATTTCCTTGTAGTTGGAGCCTCAGTCACCAGTCCCCATGGATATATCTGGATGTGCTCTGTCAGAGGACATGCTGTGTAAGGCTTTTTCTGATGTCTTGCTTGATGTGGAAGATGTAGATGCAGAAGACAGTGCGGATGCAAACCTCTGCAGCAACTATGTGAAGGACATCTACAAGTATCTGAGAGACCTTGAGGTTGGTAGGAGTAGGTCAGAACGGCATCTGCTGACCCTTCCAGTGAACCTGTCATTATAGGCATGGCTTGGAGCTGGTATTCATTTTCACCTATGTATTTTCATAAGGCATGAATAAGTGATCCCTCAACTTGAAATACAAGATTAAACTGAGCTGATAACATAAACAGATGCCAGCTGTTAGAGCAATCAACTAGTGGTATCAGTACCATGTTCTTTCTAGCCCATCTCTATTAAACAAAGAAACCTTGTGCCCTGTGGCCTATACCTATGGGCTATCTCTGTACTGAACTCCTTGATAAGCCTTAAGATGCAACAGAGGCTAGGCATGGCAAATGCTTCAGCTAAGTGACTAGTTCTATTAACCCTATTCCTTCCACACAGGAAAATCAACCTGTCAGACCCAAATACTTGTCGGGCCAGGAAATCAACGGGAACATGCGTGCCATACTAATTGACTGGCTGGTGCAAGTACAGATAAAATTCAGGCTCCAGCAGGAGACCTTGTACATGGCAGTTGCTATCATCGATCGCTTCCTGCAGGTGAGTGTCTCTCACCTAATGTCAGGCAATGCTTTTTTGCCTAGGCTAAAGCACAATGAGCACTGATCAGTAACATCACACATGGTTAGACATGTTACCTGTAACAAAATACAGCAAAGACCAGCAGAGGGCATTTGGTGTTGAACTGTATGTACCACATAACCCTCTTGGCTATGAACAGTGATTTAATATATGAAAACTGCTTAATCTTCTCCCTGATTTGATCTCAAAGCCTTCTAATACTCCTGCAGATGCCAACAGAGGTAACAGATGATGTACAGTTATTCTGTATGCCAGTATGAACATCCTTCCGTAGAACAAACCTTACACTGGCTACCTTGAAAAGCTGTGTTCTCAGCCAAGTCATTTGGATAAATCTCTACTGCTTCTTACTACAGGATAATGCTGTTTCTAAGAAGATGCTACAGCTGGTTGGTGTCACAGCTATGTTCATTGCCAGCAAATACGAAGAGCTATTTCCCCCACATATCAATGACTTTGTCTATGTAACTCATAACACTTACACGAAGTTCCAAATCTGCCAGATGGAGATGAAGATTCTGCAAGCCCTCAACTTTGGTCTGGGTCGCCCTCTCCCTCCGCACTTCCTAAGGAGGGCTTCAAAGATTGCAGAGGTAATACTGAGAGGGAGGGGGTGTTACTGTAAGCAGCATCTGGAAAACGCAATACTCAGTTGTGGTAGCTTGGCAAAACGGTTCAAAGCTTTTGAGTACTGCACCAGTTTAGCAACTGAGCCTAGTTGAGACTCGTCTCCCATGTAGAAACGGGTCTTGTTTCTGTGCTTTCAGTCACGTGAGCCTAATCTGCCCAAAACCAGGGTTAAAATGCCTGCCTGGTACTGCAGGTGACTGCTAGACTGCCATTGGAAAGAAGAGCAGCCTAATATAGCTCAGAACTGCTCTGTAACGAAGCCACTTGAATTTCAAGCCTATAGCTCTGGAAATGTTTGCTAAGGAAGTATTTCTTCCTGCTTGACTAAACAAAGGCTTGACAAGGATGCTCTTGCCTTGAGGATAGCCAATACTCAGCTCTGACTTACTGCAGGTGGACTTGGAGCAGCACACTCTGGCCAAGTACTTGATGGAGTTGTCCATTATGGACTATGACATGGTTCACTTCCCTCCATCCAAGACTGCAGCAGCTGCTTCCTGTTTGTCTCTGAAACTCCTCAATGGGTGTGAGTGGGTAAGTCATGCTTCTCAGACTGCCTCCTAGTTTGGGAATTGGTGTGCCTGTGCACCAGCTTAAAAGGCCACTCTGGGCCAAGTGTGTGCCTTCTGCTTCCTTCGTGGTATCTTTGCATGTTCCTGTCTCCACATGGTCCATTACCAAGGGGACAGAAGTAGGGCAGTAACTGTTAACCCTCCGCTGTGAGGCAGGAGACTGCAATTGCCTAAGCCCCACAGAAGACAAAGAGCCCAGCATACTCGGATTGTGCTTGTAGGCCTGTCTAACGACTCTCTTCCTTTCAGACACCAACTTTGGAACACTACATGTCTTACACCGAGAATGACCTTCTCCCAGTTATGCAGCATTTGGCAAAGAACATAGTTCTTATGAATGAGGGCATTACGAAGCAGATGGTAAGGATCTCACAGTGTGGGTGGGGAGTGTGTGTGGTTATGAGTCAATACGTGGTGCTCTGAAGCTGCCTTAGCTGAGCCGCTGCTGTCTGACCTGGGTCAGGCCTCTTCACTACAGCTGGAGGTCTCTGTCTTGCCCAAGTGGCATGAGCCAGCTGTGAACTGGTCTTGTATGCTAGGATGGGCTTGGCTTGACCACCAAGCCCCAGGCCAGCTGGAGCAGGGTAAACTTATTCAAACTTATCTCTCTGCAGGCAATCAAGAACAAATATGCCAGCAGCAAGAATGCCAGGATAAGCACCATTGAACAGCTAGGCTCTTCTCTCATACGGAATCTCGCTCAACCTCTGGTTAAGAGGTTGTAATGCTGGAGCAAATGTAAGCGGACCTGGAGTATTGTGTGAGCAAATGTAAGCGGACCTGGAGTATTGTGTGCCACTGTGTATATAATTTATCTGAGTGTGTGTTTGGGAGTTTTAATAAAATTTCTCTCTTTTAAAAGTCATCTTCCTCGTGGTAGTAGAATTGTGTTCCTCCTACAGCTGAGGCATCTCTGTGGAGGCTGTGAATAGTGAGAGGCTAGCCCGGGGGGGTTGCTGGTCCTCCAAGTGCTGTGACAGGTGGGAGTGTCACAAATTAAGAGTGCAGCTCTATTAACTTTAATGTTTATTGTAGTATTTTTTTTTTGTTAGTAAGTTAGCTATCAGCTCTAGGAGAATACTGGTCAGGGAGTTAGGTTAATGGTTGGACTTGATGATCTTAGGTCTTTTCCAGCCTAAGCGATTCTACAATTGGAAGTGGTAATTGTTCTTTGCCCACCGCTCCCCCCTTTTTTT